GGCTTGTCTCACTTGGCCGTCCGGCAAGGGTATCCAAATCCCTGGGCAACGAAGTGGATGAGGTGGAAGTTGATTCTTTTGGTCCGACTGATGCAGGCCACTGGCTTGACTAAAGGCGATGTGCAAAAAGCGCCACAAAAATCTGACTGTTGAACACATGGCCACGTAAGCCTGTGGGCAATTCTTTGGCCTTCTTGGCCTTCAAACTGCACGTTTGGCACTCCAAAGGGCAGTTCGAAATGCTCGGGATTCAAAACGCCGCACCTTTGCTGGGTGGCCGCTGGTCGGCCAAGTCCAAAAGATTCGCCCTGCACGCGAGGTCCCACCGCCGGTAGCCTCACCACCTCCATAAAACCCTAAACCATCTCATGTAGGCCCCTGATTCACCAAAGCCTTCCATTGTGGATGGTCAAACCCTCTTCATTTGGTGCACTGGTGTTTGAACGGGAGGTGACACAAACCAGACCACCGGGCGAAAAGAAAGAACTAGGGCATGCCATCCAATGTCCTTATTGTCCAAGAAGCACGTTGTCAGATAAACAAATACACACCAAAATGAGGCCAAAGAAGAGCTCCGGCTCCGGTCACCCATGGGGTCCCAACACCCCACCGCCGCAAGCCGGGTGCTCCAACTCCAAATCGAGGACATACGCTTGAGAGCGCGCGTAGAGGGAGGCGCGTCCGGGCTATGCGAGGCTTCTTGGGCAGCTTCTTGGGCAGTGTATCCCCCTCCAATTCTGCCTTTGCCTCCAAGCGGGGGCATACTGCTATGTGCAACACATATTTTGTGTTTATAGTCTTGTCCATTTATAGCGCGCGCGTGTTTCTTCATGTGTTTGTCTTTATGGTTGCTCAAAGGACGGACATTCATATACAACTTGGTGCTCGAGCAGCTGTCCCCCTTCGGAAGAACACGCCCAAGCTGTGATTGCAGCCTGTGCTACACCGCCTCACCATTCGCACCACCACAGGCAGGTCACCATCCCGCCTGTTGCAATCCAGCAGAATTTCAGTCACGGTGCCATTCAGCGTCTCCTGATGAAAAGAAAGTGAGCTCAAACCAATTCAAACATTTCGTGATGCAAGTAATGCCCCAAGGTCTGTCTAGAACTATCTGCATTACAATTTATCAAACTAAAGGCCACACACCAGGTCACCAGGGTTCACATCTTCTGCACTGCAGCATTGGCCACCACGCGAGACGCGCGATCTGGTCGGCAGGGCCTGTGGGTTTTTGGTCTTCGCCAAGCCAGCATCGAAGACCGACTAGGCGGCAGGCGGGCGGGGCGGAACCGTTCTCGTCAGACCCGACGTCCACCCACCACTGTCTTGGTTGCCCAGATGAAGGTGGTCTTTCATGTGTAGGTGGTTGGACCAGCTTTTGTGAGGAATTTGTGCCTCTCTTTAGCCTCCTCCAACCACCCGTAACCACCCGCAAATCGGGCTGGGACTGTTGGAAGTTTACAGTGACCCGTTCTGGGAAAATGACTTCTGGGATGGATGAGCGTGGAGCTTGCTGATGAAGGCATTTCTTGCGGCGTGTTTATGGTACGATCATGTCCGGTCCTAAATAGAAAAATAAACGGATGTTCTGCAAACGGGGACGTCTCCACCAAGCCATTGTTCTTCAGCCTGGTCTATTCTTGTTCGTCTGCCCCACAACAAGCAATGACCCAAGAGACGTAAATCACCATTTCATCCCAATTGTATCTCTCTGTCTTTCACACAGTCTAGTCAACACAAGCGAATAGTCCCGTCCCAATAGTCTTCACCTTTCAAATAACATACACCTTAGCAAACCAATGCAAAACAAGACACCTCAAATCCTTCTTACCCTCACAACTCACCCCTAATTATCGAGTCTTCATGAGTCTTCTAACCGTTCAGTTCTTCCTTTCTCCGGATTCCCCACCGACACCCACCGACCATGCGGTTCAGCCAAGCTGCCACGTCACTGCCCAACAGCAGCAGCTCCGTGATGATCCGGGCGCCCAGGAACCCCGCGCCGATGACCGCCACATGCACCGGCTCCTCCATCCGGAGAGCGGCGCCCCCCCGGCGCGGTCCGGCCAAGGGGCCGTAGATGGCCGGTAGACCGGGCAACCCCCCTGCGGCGGGGAGAAGAGGCGAAAGCAGGGTGAGCTGAGGGGGTTTCTTGTTGGGGGGTGAGTTTCTCTCCATCTGACCCTCCAGAGTGGGGGGGCGGGATTGTGACCACGAGTTGGGGTTGGAGGAGTTTCTTCATGTTTTTGTGAAGGCAGGCAGATTTACACTCTTCGACTAATTCACATTGAGAAGACGACACTGGTGATCATGCATGCCAGACCTGATACCCTGTCTGACCACAGAAATCCACCATGGCCTGAGCCGGGTCCAGTTTTGGTGGCTATAGTTCTTTTGGCAACCTTCAACCCACGTCACTTTCAAACAGCCACTGTTGATAGGCCAATTCTTGCGCCCACAATCTTGCACCCAAGGGCTGGACCATGTCTTTGGCCTTCTTCTCTCTTCACCCACTGGGCCCAGTGGCTCCGGACCCCCCCCCCCCGAGACGCCCTCCTGACTGTCCATGTCCAGGCCTTCGTCTGACTGCGGGGCCCTTCAGCACACCCGAAGGACACCCGACACGAACGCCAGCTGAGCCAGCTGCTGCGACGAAGCGACGGGCCGCTGGCGGGCGGTGAGAAAAAAGAAAAGGGACCGTGCGCTGTGTGGGCGCCCTGCGGCTGGCTTGGAAAAGATTCTTCGAGGGTTGGCAGGGACCAAAAGGGACAAACAGCTGGGTGCGGCCGTCATACCAAAAAACTGGGAGACCAAGCGTGGCAAGGGGGAAAAGAGAATGCTTGGATTCTAAGCACTATTAATTTAACAGGCTTTACCGAACAACCATTGTTTCACTGAGGATTTTACACTACCCAGATGCTCCAAACAGCCCTTGGTCCCTCAAAACCCTAGGGCCCTAGCAAATTGAGACCCCAGACCCCTCCAGAGGATTCGGGTCCAACCCCTCCATATGAGGGCCCGTGAGCGTCTGGGTACAACACCAGTTCAACCATTAAAGACAAGTTTTGGACTCTCAGGGGGAACGTTTCAAATCGTTGGTGGCAGGTTCCATATTTAGTTCACCCCCAGCGGCCACGGTTCCAGAAAATCACCTTCCGTTGTCCCACGTGGTCTGGGAACAAGAGTGAAAAATCATTCAACTCGGTTGGAGTCGGGGGCACTGCAGAACCCTGAAAGTCTGCCTTCTTCACAGTCTTTACAGCTCCTCTGAGGAGTCCCACCGTCATTCGCTTTGCACCGGGGTGCTCTTCCTTGGACATGACTTCTCAGAGGTCAAGGCACGGCCGCGCTACGCGCTAGGTTCGTTGGGCCACTCGGGCCACTCTTGGTTCCGGAAGAAAAAGAAGAACAGCCCAAGCCACCCTGAATATAGCCTGGCTGCCCCGGCTAGAAGAACAACTGAACCTTCACGTGTCTCATTTCCCGGTCTTCCGAAAAGCAGCGGTTGAAAAAGAACAAACAACAAACATGGCGGCTTTCGCACGTTCGTGCCGTGGATGCTCTCGATGGTTCGATGGCACACGTCCTTCTTCACCACGGCCTTCCTGGAAGTCCCGGTCCAGTCCAGTCGAGCCAAAAACTCCACCCCCAGTGAGGAGAGGGTGACCAGTGGTGTGACCTGCATGGCGACCAGCAAGGGTGGTTTGGTGAAGACCTTTGGACCAGGGTGCGCGAAAGGCTGCTGGAGCCCAGTTCGACGCGTTCAACGCGAAAACGCCGCCGCCTTCCGGACATGAAGCTGGACAAAGAGGGCGTTTTAAAACGAAGGTTCTCTTGCGGGCATGCATAAGCATCACCATATAATATTCTCTATAATTTGGGGTTGCGCTTTTTTTCAGTTGATTGAGGCTTCTAGCTGTCGATTGGCTCTGTCCAATCCAGTCAACTTGTTCTTCACCTCACTGTGGGCCTCTAGCTTCGAAAGAACTCTGGAATCACATTCCCAGCTTTCAAACACAGTGTCTTGACCTATCCTGATGCAGATTCCATGCGGAATCTTCGGAACGTTCGGAACATGAATGCTCAAAACTGTCAACAGGTCCCGCATTGAATCTGCTAAGTGTGGCTTCCAGGCCAAGTACTTTCCCAAAAGACTTCCTAATTGAGTTGGTCTTCACTTGACTTTCATTCCTCCGCACCAAATGGCTACCCACCCACTGGAGTGCCCCACCAAAAGCCGTCCATATGAATACTGCTCCGTCGGTCTTCCGGCCGTGCCATTGGTTTCCGGTGGCGCAATTGACACGCGCGGCTTTGGCGCAGTGGGTGACACGGTGGTGGGGGTGACGGGACACAGCAGATCCTCAACACGTGGCAGTCATGAGCGAGTTGCATTCCTGGATGTCACCCCTTTTTTTCACTTGCTGGGGAACGCACAAACAAGTCCAAGGTGGGAATGGCTGAGAGATCGGCCACTCACACCCAAGGTGTTCAAAAGCCAGGAGCTGTTAGATCCCTGAACTTGCTGTGGTGGTGCCAATAAGCCGCCGTGTAAGAATTCGAAATGGTCCCGCGAACCAGAAGTGAAAGATCGGGTCGAAACCAGCGGATGGAAGGCAGGTTGGAAGGCATGTTGACACATGTTGACACGAAGTTGAACAAACAAATCTTATTAACGTGCGCCATAAGTTATCACATGTTATCACTTTAGTCTTCATCCGAATGTCTTAGCAACAGCTGAAAAACGCTCAATGTCTTCCTGCATTTCAACGTCTTGATCCACGTGCCAGCGGCAATCCTAGAAGTGCGCATCTAGAAAGCTTGTCTAAAAAAGCTTGCGAAACGAGAATGGATTGTCCCAGCCAAGCACATTCAATGATGGAGACCCCGTGTCTTCGCTGATGTGAGGCCGCCCAATGGTTCTGCTGAAACGGTCCATGCTGTTGGCCATCCACTCCAACCTTGCAACGTCCAACCCAGTTCCCCAAGGCGCCCACGAAGTGCGTAGCCGCGCCATGAGTGGAACCGCCAGGGTGGTGGCGAACAGCAGCAAGAGCCTTAGAGCACCCCATCCGGTGCCGCTTGCCAAAGTGCAAGAATCATGGAAACAGCAAACCCCATCACGCGTGCCCCATCACCCCTGCCTTCCCCTCACCTGCCGCAAATGACAGCATCATGCGCACACACGTAAAATTCGCAGCTCGGTGGAAGACCTTCGGAAAGGAGAAACTTTCGGCACACGACCGGCAGAACGCCCTTTGATGGGGTGCCTAACGATGAAGCCTTTGGCTGCCACTGCGGCCATCAAAGGACACAAAATCGGGTTCGCATGGTTAGTGGGGAGACCCCCTAGCCCCACTGGCTTTGGTCTTATAAGTCTACTTCCCTTCTTCCAGGGGGTCGAACTGGGAGGTCTCCCTATTTCGATGCACACCCAAATGAACCGTTTGCCCCGGCATCATCTGCAAACCACCCTTGCCATCCCTTGCCCAAGACCAGCACAAGGTGGACTCCTATTTTGAGCTTGGAGGGACCTGAAAGAGACTGTAGCCACATGAGTCCGAAATCTCACCAAAACAAACAACACACCACCAGGACCATCCAAGGGGTGTCCTGGCTGGACTACCCTACACTACCTATAGGCTTCCAGACAGGGCACCCCTTGGATAGTCCAGGCACAAATGACGTTGCTATGTGCAAATTGACCCATCCCATGGTAAAACCAGGGTAAACCTACCTACTGCCATCCTCCTGCCTGGTGGCCAAAAGGTCTCAGAATCTCCAGTCGGAACGGCGGACCGGGATCGAGCTCCAAGGAGGAGAGGCTCAGCTTCAGACCTACAGACCTACAGGTTTTGGCTTCTTCCAGCTTTTGGAAGATGTCAACCGCTGTCACCATGTTTTTTCAACTCACTGCAGCTCCAACTTGTTACAAAAAGCGGCAAGCACACTCATGCTGTCCGAATTCTTGGTTGGTCTTGATCTGTTGCATGCTGATGCCCATTCCTTGCACTGGTCACATCCCCCAAGCTGGACATGGCCGGGGAAGCCCTCTTTTCCCCCCAACACAGTGTGCTCACACTAGGAGTTCCTTACGCTTAGTCCCAATTTGATCTCGCTCTTGTCCGTTTTTGGGGTGTCTCTTGTCGAAGATCCACTTTGGAGGGCTTTTGCCCACTGAAACGTCGCCTCGCCTCGCCCACTCGACACCCGGATGGGAGTGGATTCTGCTGGGAAGCCGGCTGGAGGTCGGGAGGCCGGGTGGATGTGACCAGTTGGACCTTGGACCTGGGTGTGGCTGCCGATTCCTGGAATCCTTCCAAGGCTCCAAGGGCTCTAAAGGTCTGGATGCCGCTGGTCGATAGTGGTTGCTTCACACCCACGGCCCCCGCATCTGGATTGGGCTTCCAGCTGGGAAACGAGCACGTTCTGCTCCCAGTCTGCCAGGTATGGAAAAGCCCATGCAGGGCCATTCCACGACTTCAACGTCAGCCACGAGGCTCCAGAAGCGACATGAGGCCGACTCACACGAACATCAACGTTCAAAAATAGAGGCCTCGGCCTACAAAAAGTCTACAAGGACACTTCTCGGGCAAGTTCCAACAAAGGGCCAGGTACAGGAGCAACAATGAAGAGGGTGTTCTTGAATATATATATATATATATGCCTCCCGGTGCTTTTTAGATGCCCCTCGCATCTAACCCACAAACCCTTAAAAATCCACCAGGTTGCATGGACCGAGATAGCAAACCATACCGACTCCCACAGTCTGGGGGAGACTTGTCCACTTAGTCCTTGCTGAGTGGGGAACCCATCCCCCCAAAAGCTCAAGGATACCCACTTATCCCACTTTTCCTGGTAGGAAACGACCATGACCACCACCATCACGTCGGCCCCAATGGGACATCCACCCTCGGGGGGGCGACCAAATGGCCGGACCTACCCCAGCGGTGTGCGCCAGCATAGGCAGGCGCCAGCATAGACTAGACCCCAACTAGCACGAGATGTGCCTGGGCAGCACCACAGCGGCACCTGGGGAACCCCAATAGATCTCTCGCTAGCCGCTTATCTGAAAAAAAAGAAGGAAAGCGGTGCCAAGTGGAAGAGAAGAAGGTCGGAAAGTGTCTCCGAAACTCCACTCCACTCCACTCCACTCCACTCCACTCCACCCTCCCCAGTCTCCATGCAAGCACGACATCATGTTGACGACGTTGGGCACCCCCGGCACATCGCTCATCGGAAAGATGGCCTCCCGGACGTGCACGGAGGTGGCTCAATGTTGCCCAGGGTCCCCACCTAGAGCCCAGACAAGCTGGTCCATTATGGATCAACGTGGACCATGATGTGTGTACTTGGGAATGCTTCATGCTGAAACAACCGACCGCTGGGTACCATATACCTATTGCTTCTTCATCTCCCGCTGGTCTCCCCTCCATTGGACCAACCAACAGGTTGGTAGATACATCGAATCATGGCTTGCCTCAATGGGTCGACGTCGCCTCTCACGCGTGCGACTGCCGCCCTCGCACCCCTTCCCTTCACCAGATCAGCACCCAACACCCCACCAAGCACGCCACCGCGCCACAAGCTTCGCGCGACCAAGGGTCCAAACGCAGGTCACGCTGCCTGGAACCAGGAGACCGAGCCGGCATGAGCCACCAAGGTACCTCCGACGTCCGCGAGGTTCGGTCGGCTGCCCCGACGAGTGGACGGATGGTTGGGACAAGTGCCGCACTTCCTCACAGAAATGGCTGCGCGTGGATGCATGATCTGCACTTCTCCCAAAATCGGTGCATGTTGGTGGTGAATATGGCCAAACTGCTATACGTAATATTATATAGACTCCAGGCATTTGGAGCGTTCTTGCAAAATGGTTCCAAACCGATGCGAGATGATGCTCTTGCACCGTGATCATCGACCGGTCGAAGGAGCCCGGAATGGGCCACACCGACACCGGCCCGGAACCGGCCTGCGACGGCTGCCTTCTGGCCTCAGGTCGTGGAGCAGTGCGGTGGGAACTGATCATCAATAGGAGATGAAAAGGATCCCCAAAAGGAAAAGCACTCAGAATATCTCAGAGTTGTAGTTGATCCAACTAGCAGTTCAAGCCCAAGTTGCACAAGAAAAGGCTTCCGCCAATGGTGAGAGGCCACACCAGCCGCCTCTCTGGCGTGTTCGAAAAGAAGGGCGAGCCACTGGCGGTGTAATTCAGCAGCTGAACGAAAGTCGTTTCGTTCGACACGGGTTTCGCCATGGGTTTCGCCCCGCGACCGGGAGTGATTTCGCATGTGATCTTCCGATTCCAGGTGGGCACTACTCCGGTTTCGCCAGGCTCGATTCTTCCATACAGCCGGAAGCTGGCAAAATCTGGAGCATTTCTGTCTATCCTTAAGTCCCTGCGATTCACCCTTGAGATATCCAGAAGCACTCCAGTTCGCGACGAGCTTGGCCGATCTGTATCGACACTTCTTGGGGCCTTTTCCAGTAGACTTGACTTGTTTAGATGAAATCCTCAGGTAAAACCCTGGGGTGGCCTCAAAAGGCAGCCTTATCATATTTCAGGTTGGAGTCAAAAGACCCCCAATCTCAGGGCGCTGAAGCTCCCAAGTGGCTGCATTGATGTGTCCTGTGAGAAAAAGAACCCCCCAAACATTCCTGGATAAAATTCCAAGTAGAGCTTCACTCCTGCTGTGGAACGGCTTTCGGCACAGCCGCACGTAACGCCGACGCCCAGCGCCTTGCCCACGTGCGCCACCTTCCCCTGTGCCTGTGGTGACAAGAATGAGGCTGGAGTTTAAAACCGAGGCCCACAGCAGAAATGGACAAGGATGTCTGGGTGGGCCAAAGTGAGTATGGGATAATACATTAGTACAGGTCCAGGTCTCGTCACAGGTCGTCAAACCACTTCATGCAACCTCCTAAGTCTACCTACCTTGCAACGACTTCGGGCCGCCAAAAGAAGAGCTCCACTTCAAGTGCAGCATTTCTTCATTCACCGGCTGCCTCTTCGGAGTCAGCGCACGGGAGAGAGCGCCAACCGTTGCCAAGTCCTCGGACCCATGGATTGGCACGAGAGGTTGGTCGGAAACCACGCCGAAACAGTCGAAACATCGAGCCTTACTATAGAAACCCATGAGTCCCATGAGCCCAAAATGGGAATCGACCAGGGTTTTCAGCTCAAGACTTTGCCAACCCAGCCACCCGCAGCCGCGCAGGTCTGGGACCCTCGTCCCGCCGCCGTGCCGTGGCACCGCGCGGCGTGGCACCGCGCCGTGCCTCGCGCCCCGCGAGCCGCGGGGCCGGGGCGCGGCACCTGGGATCTAAACATGCCAGGTTTGGTGAAAATCAGAGGCAACTGTGGGGTTTGGCTGCATTAGTCTATTCGAAGCAAATGTCAATGCTGACAAAACTGGTTGGTTCCTGCTTGTACTTGGCTATTGTCACACTAGTTCACATGCCATCTGGGACATATGGGGTCAAAACGCAGCTGGCGCCCGGTCTGCATACTGAGCTCAAGACACTACCCGAGGCAAAGGCACCGGCGCAATGGAAACCATGCCAAGATGTCTTGGGGAGTAAAAGTAAGACCTAGACCTAGACCTGTCCCACTTGGACATCCAGGCAGACTTGATTGAAGCACCAATTCCGACATCCAGGCGTCGGTCATGGTATCAGAAGTTAAATTTCAACGGAAGGGTCCCAATTGGGCACCTTTTGACCTGGAAAACGTCGCTCCAAAAGAATAACACTAAACGGCTGAGGATTGTTCCATTGGGCCAAGGAAGCCCCATACCTGCAGGTATCACACCATCTTGGTCCACTTTTCACCTATATGTTGGGGCCCATTTGTGTGCAAGTGAGTTGTGTTCGCCATGGTTTTTCCAGTTCTTCGAGGTTGAAGTCACCTTGTCACCTAGCTTACTCAGTGGGTTGGTGCCTATACAGTATATATGCCCCTCACGTGGTCGGCACCGGTCCTCCACGGTTCATCAAGCAAGCGACGTTTCTGTCATATTGCGATGCTCCAAGCGAAGGCTAACCACACATGCTTCATTTTAGGAAGCACGTTCTTTGGGTCAGCTTGCCGGCCATCCTCGCGCTACCTTCAGCCTTGAACAAAGCAGTCGGCCGACAAGCCGTTTCCCCTTTGGTGAATCTGTGCCACAATGAGAGGGGCCCCCATGATTCACAACAGGTAGCAGACCCCTCTAGAACCATGGTAAAGGAGATGTGATTGCCTTTCAGTATCCCTGAAATGCTGTTAATGCTTAGTAACTTAGTTAGCTTCACTTGCATCACCAAGTCTCACAATTATGAATGACACCAATCTCTCAAGCTTGTGACCATGCTGGTGGGACAACCCCAAATGCACACACATGTTGTTGATTCAGGTGCTTTCAGATTCAGGCGACCCCGCGAAGATCACCCACGTTGAAAGAAGACATTTCTCCAAATCACCCAGCAAAGATCGCCTAGGGCCTAAGGAAGTCATCACTCCATCAATTCACTGGCAGAGTGGGGCTGTCCCCCACTACGCCCCCAGAAACCTCGCCCCGTTGTATCCGTGCATCGCCCCAACCAGCTGGCCAGCTGCATGTCCGTGTCATCCCAAAACAACCCATTAACATCAACTCACCGAGCCAGTCGAACACCCAAATCCAATGGAAATTGATCCTGTTTGGTCAGAAGTTGATGGGTTTTTCTGGGGGCCCCGCCTGTTTTTCTCGTATCAGTTCCCCCCCACAAAGGCCGCCCAAAAGGGGAGGACAAGACCTGGCCGTGCCAGAAGCGAAGGCTCCACGGAGCAGCTGCGAAGCCAAGGTCTTGTTGGACCTAAGGGCACTTGTGGGAAGAGTGGGCCACTAATGCCACTGCTCATGGCGGTACACCAGCTCCATCCTTCACATGTTCCCATTTTGTGGGAGTGTAGCCGCTTTCATCCATCATAGAATCTTTATCATCCATAGAATCACAATTGAAGAAGTTGAAGCGTGCAGGAGTTTTTGTGGGTAGAACCTAGCCAGTGTGGAACAAGCCACACATAGGCTTTTAGGGTGGACGATTCAACCAAAAGGGTAGGGCTCAATGGGACTAACGGCCGTTGACCGAAGAGGACATCCATCCTCTCCACGTTCTAGGACTGACGTCAGACTTCCACATCTTCCCCTACACTCTGCAGCAAGGCCACCGAAGGATCCATCAAATGCACTTGTAGAACCTCGCCCAACACGACACGGCGCAAACAGCAGGCGGAAGAGTGGATGATTGCTATGATCACCCTTGGCGGGTCTTTCTCTCACTAAGAAGCTCGGCCCCATGGACCCGAAGCTGTGCGCCGGACTTGAACCCGCAAAAGATATGCACTGGCTCCAACACGCCCCGAGAAGCTTTCAGGTGCCATGCTGGTGCTGAATTGGTCGACCTGTCCAAGTGGTGGGCTACTTGAAAAACACGCGCTTAAGCCCATACTGTTTAAGAGTTATATAGGTGACATATGGCAACCTAAGGAGTACGTGGAGTACTTGGTAAAGCCCAAGGAGCAGTTGTGAGAGAAACACACACCATGGTCAATTCAGACGATCCCAGTTTTCTTCGATAAGATATCCGTTTCCCACCTGGCATGGCTCGGGCAACTCTCGCCTGAGCCGTGACTCCGACATCGTCTACCAGCGCACACCGGACCTCACCACGCACCGGGGGAAAAGGGACGGATCCTTCCACCCAAAGCTTAAGCCCGCGACGGCCAAAGGGCAACGGCCATTGGTTTCACCCCCTTCCCGGACGTTTTCCGCCCCCCCCCAGACTCCGAATTCGGTCAAGCCATCGAAAGGTCCTCCCGGCGGAGACGCCAGCCACCCGCCATGACAGCGCCACATCCATGGCACCACGGTGTGTGAGGGTCGTCGCTCCAAAACATCCGCTGCAAAAAGAAAGGATCGGATCAAGCCCTCCAAACCTTCAAAAAACTTGCCAATTCTCCCACCCCAAACTGCACTCACCATGGCTCGCGGCGCATGCCTTTGGCGGTCCCTTTGCCCCACGCGATGTCATCCAGCGATGTCACCCCCGGACGCGCCCAGACGCGCCTCAACTCGGTGGCCGCCAGCAAACCTCCAAGACCCAGAGAGGCGCCACCCACGGCCAAAGGCCTAAGTGGGAGTGGAAAATGGGAGTGCCTGGAAGGGAGGTGGCTGGATTTTCGTCTGGCGGCACATGTTTCATGAGGCTCTGTGAAGAGTTGGTCAAGCTTCTGGGTGGCTTGTCTTGTCCCAATGTCTTTTTTCGCACACGTTCGCACACACGTTCGATGCCTCCGCTGCAGAAAACCTAAACCTAAACCTAAACAGATTCGAGGGTGTTGATGCCCTCCTTGCATAGTTTCCCTTCGCGCGCTCATCGCACCCAGACCCCATAGCTGCCAAAGGGACGCGTAGCGTCTCAGGGTTGCAGCCATGGCGGCAAGTAGATCCAGACCCCGGCCCTGTTGGGCTACTGCCCAAGGACAACCTTGCAAACATCATGATGCCCAGCATGAAAACATGATGGAGCACAAGGCATTCTGCTCAAAGTCCAACACCTAAAGGTCTTCTTTCGCTGATCGTACCTCAACAAAACTATGAGGCACCAAATTAAGCAAATTTGGCAATCGTGTGACTTGGAATGGTGGCAGACTTGCCTTTGCTTGCAGTGGGCCATGTCCAAAGCAACCGGCCAGGGAAAAGAATGCAGAAGGAAGGTTCGGGTCACAATCCATTAGTGTCTGTATATCAATTCTCTCCCGAGCTTCGATGGCGCCCTCTCTATTGCCTCATGGCTTGGGGATCACTTCGGCCTGGAGTTCTTCTCCGGCTGGACGATTTATGCATGGAGAGCAGCCAACGGTCCGTGAGAAGAATGTGCGTGAGAAGAATGTGCTGGAGTCCATTGGAGAAAACATGAAACTTCATGAAACATGTTCCCCAGCTGCTCTCCAAGTTGGCTAATGGCTTCTCTGTTGGACATCAGCATCGTTCATCGATTGGCTTACTTTGGCCTGGATTTCGTCCCGGGCAGGGCAACTTTGGCCCAATTAGAGTGGCAGGTACCTCAAGAAATACCCATTGTAAGGCATGGTTGGATTCGGATTGCAGTTCTTTTTTGCTTGTGCAAAACCATCTGTGTGGATCCAATTGGCCCAAATCCTTCTCAACAAAGTGGCATCATGTACCGCACCATCCACTCTGTGTTTTGCGCCTCCAACGGTACCCCCTGCTTGTTCGCAATGAAGATTGTTTCAGAGTATAGATGCCGTCTACTCAAGTCCAATAAGCTTCAGATTCGTTTTTTAAGGAAACTATGCATGGGGCTTGTAGGCACATTCGCCTGTGGCTGTGCATGAATTACATTCAGAATCATTCAGACTTGAAGGCATTCAGAATTCAGAATTGAAGAAGTAGAATTGTGATCATGGGTGATTTCATTGACCTTGCAAGTGTCACACTTCCTGGTGTGAAGTAGTTCTCCAGCACCTCAGTTGCGAAAATCGGCGATGTTTACAGTGATTTAGCCTGATCATCTTGGAGGCATGGAGACAGAGAAAGAGAGAGAGAGAGAGAAGGAAGAAGAAGAAGAAGGAGAAGAAGGAGAAAACGAAAACTTGCTAGTGGTCATAGTCATACTGGCGTCATGTCACGTGGGCGCAACATCTCATCTGCCCTAGAGAAAAGCGGGTCCGCGGTCCTCTAGAAGGTGAGTCATTATAATTAGTAAACTTATGACTCATATTTCCCAATTCCAATCCAATACACAGTGCATTGCCCGTCATTGCCCTCATCGATTTTCGCCGGACGGTGTCAAAAAAGAAGGACGGTTGACGGTTGGTCTAAATCATCTGCCCAAGTGGCGGAAGCCGCTACCGCCGTGACACTGTTCGGCTTGACCTCCCGCCCAAACATCTCAATCCCAAGCAGGTTGGCCGATCGAAATCCACCGCATCCATCTGAGGGCGCAAGAGATGGACAGCCCTCTCCTGCCCCAAAAATGCCTCGGCCTCCTTCAGCTGGTGACAAGCTAGCAACTCTTCGGCGCTTTGGTTCTCCAGGTCTTTTAGGCTCAAAGTCTTAGGGACCAAACGACGCAACACATTCAAAGCATCCCGGTGGCCATTCGAAGCTGCCTTGTGTGCAGGCACCTGACCTTTTTCGTCCACTGAGCTCAGTGTTTCTGGTACCAACTGGTGCAAGGTCTCCAGGGTCTTCTCATGCCCATGGGCGGCCGCCAAATGCGCCGGCACTGCTCCATCCTGATCTTTCCAGCTGAGCGTGTCAGGAACGAAACGGTGCAGCAGTTTCACGGCATCGTCACGGCCCTGCATGGCGGCACCATGCACTGGCACCTTCCCATCATGAGTTTGCTTGGCAAACGTGGTGGCTGCATGTCTGTGCAGCACCTTTAGGACTCCGCAATGGCCGCCACAAGCAGCAACATAAGCAGGGGTAATGCCATCTTTGTCTTCAACACTAAGTGTCTCAGGAACCAGCTGCTGCAACAGACTCACAGCTTGTTCGTAACCATTTGCAGCTGCCTCATGTGCAGGCATCTGGCCCTTG